TAACGAGGTGCATCTGCGCCTCGTTACAATATATATTAAAGTATTTGTTTAAATTATATTGTTTTGGGATATTTTCGTAATAACATTATGCTTATTATTGTAAAATACTTTTGTTCAGCAAGTTTTTTGCGATATTATATAAAATTGTATGTACAAGTACTCATATGCATGCACACACACACACACACACATACACACATTGCTTTTTTATTTAATCGTTTTGTGCTACGTCGAAATTGCGTTTATGCTGAATAATATTAATGGTAATGCTAATATTAATGCTGAATAATATATATGCTAAATATATTAATACATGATAAATTGGAGATTAATCATAATAATTAATACATTCCAAGAGAGAAAACAATATATTATTTATTTACTCGTTTATACGAAAATAAATTGTTTACAAAGTGTTATTGACTGTTTGCGCTTATACTGAAGACTTATTTCTTCTTCTTCTTATTATTATTATCACATTGAGTTGTAACCATTAATTATAAGAGCTAATATATTCTAAGGAATAAAAAGTTTTTTTTTTCATATAAAAATTAATTGTTCACAAAATATTATATACACTGTTTGCACTTATACTTAAGACTTATTCCTTCTCATTATTATTATCACATTGAGTTGTAACAATTAATCATAAGAACTAATATATTTTGAAAAAAAAACAATGTATTATGTTTTTATTCTGTCATATGAAAATAAATTGTTCATACAGTGTTATAAACTGTTTGCATTTATACCTCAGTCTTATTCCTTCTTATTATTATTACATTGAGTTGTAACGAACGTTTTGTTTGCAGCGAACTTTTAGTAAACTAAATTACAATTGATTTAATAATACTGTAAATTAATAATTAAAATAAACATAATTACAATTAATAATGAATTAAATAAAAAAACCAATTAAACAACGCTACTAGAACTTTTACCACAACCCAATACAACTATATATATATATATATATATATATATATATATATACTTGTCGAAATTGGAGCTTTTGGTTCACAAAGTGATGGTGTTTTTAAAGAGTCAACTTTTGAAAGAGCACTGGAATCTGGTATAATAGTTATCACCAGACTCGCCATTGTCGAATACAAATAATGTTTCCACACTATTTTGTAGGAGATAAAGCCATATTCTATTAAAATCTTATATTCTGAGACCTTACCCTAGAAAGAATTTAGACGATCAAAAACAAATTTATAATTGTCGATTATCAAGAGCACAACGTACAATTAAACATGCAAAGCTCCAATGTCGACATATATATTTTTTTATTAATATATATTATTATGAATCATAATAATATACACTTATATATTACTTTAGTATAAACTATATAAACTATAAAAGTAATAAAATGTAAAACGAAATAGTATTATAAGATGTGAAACAGTATAAAACGTTGTTTTTATACTAATTAGTATAAAGACAAAGTTTTATTTTGTATATCTTGAAATTATTTGCATAATCTCAATTTTACAAGATATTAAGTCACTTTTATCGACACTTTTTAAATCTCCGTACAAGGAGTCACAAAAATATTTTAAAGATTCGTCTTCTGCACTTGCGGTATTCTTGTGAGTAACGAAACTTTTAAAAACATCTACGGCATTACCTAATTGTTCTTTAATGTCCGGAGATTCTTTTTTATTTTGACTTGTAAGTCTCTTTGGTATAGATGTGTTTGATGTAATAAGTTTTTTTGCTGCAGATGCGTTTGGTGTTATGGATTTTTGTAATATAAATGTTTTTGGAGTAACGGGTCTGTCTGATGTAGATGTGTTTGGTGTTATGGGTCTTTGTGATATTGATATGTTAGGTCTGTCTGGTGTAGATCTGTTCGGTGTTAATCTTTGTGGTGTAGATGTCACAGGCTCTTGCGATATAGGTGTCGTCGATTTTGTTTCTTGTCTGAGATATGCTATCGTATTGTCGCTTAAAATATTTGAGAAAGATTGTAAAGATGTCTCCCTGCTAGGTATGTCAGTGACAATCCCTGCACATGTTGAAAATTAACATAGTTATCAATAAAAAGTATTGTTAAAGTATTGATAACATAGTTATCAATAAAAAGTATTGTTCATTCAAAGTTTTATAATAATATGTATAATATTTAACATTAGAAACTATGGGAGTAATAAGAAAGTATAATTTTAGATATACCTGTCTCATCATCTAAATACATGTAGTCAATGTATTGCATAGAGTCATCCTCTGCGGTCAGGTTTTTTGCACTGTCTTTATAAAGATCATCAAATTCCTGTGTTTCTGAAGGGGAATTTGATTCGTCTTCCATCGCAATGTTCCCAAATGTTCGTCGTTTTTTCACCACAGAGTGTTAGAATGTTAGATATTTCATTAAGGGCCATTCCGTTTGCATAGCTGATCCAGAAAGTATTTTTCTAGCTCCCTCTTCGGAAAATCTGTTACGTAACGACGTCCATCGAGCAATACATTCATTTGCTAAAAGAAAATATATAATTATTAATAAATGGTATTTGACTAAACCTTAACCGAACTTTCTTAAGTAAAGAATTTTATATATATTTAGTTAATACATATATCTTATTTCTTCCATTATAAAATCAAAACGTCTTATCTTAGATATGTTTTATTATATTACTGTATTATAAACTATAACATGTATTGGGTGAGTGCAAAAGTTCGTGCGGAGTTTCAATAGATGGAGTTATAAGCGTCGTAAAGTGTTGTCATTAATACTTCCATCTACATATTATATAACGTTGGAAAGGTGATGTCTTCAGCTGTTATTAAAAAAAAAAATCATTTGTTTTCATACAAACTGCTTCGAGAAATATCACTTTAAAAATGAGTATCGATAAGGTGCATTTACGGCATGTTATGCTTTACGAGTTTCGGAAGGGAATAAACGTTGCCGCAGCCGTAAAAAACATTCAGGATGTTTATCAGGATGAAGCACCAGCTAAACGAACTGTGGAAAAATGGTTTGCTAAATTTCGGCGCGGAGAATTTAACTTGAAGACGAGCCACGCTCTGGTCGACCTTCTGACATTGATGACGATGTTTTGCGTACTTTAGTGCTCAATAATCCGCGAATTTCAACAGAAGAAGTTGCTACAGCACTAAACGTTGACCGATCAACCGCTTTTCGGCGTTTAAAAAAGATGGGATTCGATTTGAAGCTCGATATATGAGTGCCCCATTTGCTGACCGAGAAGAACAAAATCAAACGAATTTCTGCAGCCGTTTCTTTACTCGGGCGGCTCAATAACGAGTCGTTTTTGGATCGACTAGTGACGGGCGATGAGAAATGGGTCCTCTACAACAATGTTCAGCTCAAACGGACATGGAAACAATCAGGTGAGCATGGTGACGCAATGCCAAAGGCCAGTTTGCACCCGATGAAGGTGATGCTCTCTGTTTGATGGGATTGCAAGGGCATAATCTATTTCGAGCTTCTCCCCGCTGGCGAAACGATTGATTCGGACAAGTACTGTCGCCAATTAACCAATCTGAATCGAGAAATAAAAGAGAAACGTCCGATTTTGTCAAATCGCAAGGGAGTCGTCTTTCATCACGACAACGCCAAACCACACGTTTCGAAAAAGACGCTGCGCAAACTGAAGAGCCTGAAATGGGATGTCTTAACGCATCCACCGTATTCTCCTGATATCGCACCATCTGACTATCACTTGTTCCGGTCATTGCAAAATTATTTAAATGGAAAAAACTTTGACTCTTTGGAGGCCTTAAAAAACGGCGTCTCTTCGTTCTTCGAATCCAAACCGCGCAGTTGTTATGATCGAGGCATCCGTATACTGCCAGAACGTTGGGAAAAGATTATAGAAAACGATGGAGAATATATCATTGATTGAATAAAGATTTTTGTTTGCCTAATCACTGTGTGACTTTTACTCACAAACTCCGCACGAACTTTTGCACTCACCCAATATATACTCACTTGATTTTTGTAATTCTCCACTTATAAATAACCACGAATTATCTATTACTGTTCGATCTTTATATTTTGGATTTGTCTTATCATATAAATGTGTAAATCTTTCCACTAAAGTTATTAATTTTATGTCATTATTCATTGAATCCATTTCACTCATATTTTCGTACCGCAGCACTTTGCACAAACCAGTATAAAAATGAAGTTATCTTGATTACAACCATAGACTTGTGTACATCAAGTTTGTATTTGTAACCAATCTCCATAGCATTTTCTTTTAAGATCGCTTGCCGTATTCCTTAGAAATTAAAGTTGAGTTAACTTTACAGTTACGGCTTCAGTCACCAGTATACGGAAATGTATTGTGAACGAAATTGTAATACCAGTGTTGAACTTTACCGCTTCCGGCATAAGTTAGCGGTTACGGCCAGCATAAATGGGCCTTTAGTGTGTAAAATAACTTCAATACGTTTGAGAGCGATGATTTTTTTATTTCATATTCGTGACTACGTACCAAAATACAAATGACAAAGTTTTTTACCCAAATTGGTGAGAAAAAGGGCTGTTTTTCCATTGCAATTCTTCAGATTTGTCATTTATCATATGTATTAAGTATAGTAAGAGTATAAATTATAATAATTAACATTTTGTTACATGTTTCCATTCTTGCATTTACAGTTGTAGTTTGCTACCAAAGTTTCAAGGTTATTATTAGTTTAAACATGACAACAACAAAAAAACGTGGTATTTTAATCGTTGGGATATGGGACGTGCAATTGACTGTGACGGATATGTGCAATGTGTTATTGATGGTATGTATAATAGCTGTTTTATTAACCCTTAAATGGCATATATGAGTCACTCGTATTCATGTCATTTCACATTGTGTAAATTTGTCGAAGATTTAATTAATGTAGTTTGATTTGTAAAATATTGAACTTTTCTTTTTCTTTGTAATCCTTTTTTAGAAACTTTAAAGTACATGTATGAATTTGTGTTGAATTGTTTGAACACTATAACATTGTACAAAGTAACTTAAGCACAAATGACTCGTATGTTATATGTTACTGAAAATGTTTGCCATACAGGATTAAAACTGAAATAATTATTATATCTGTTTTTGTGTATTTTAGATGGAAGAGTAATTAAAATTCCTCATAATGAAATTGACTATTCATCCGATACTATAGTAGTTGATCTTTGTGGGACAGAAATATTGATTGAAATCCCAAAAACAATACAAGAACAAGTTAAAAATGTTGGTAAAGAAGAAGAGAAAGAAAATAATATAAATGAATCTGTAATAAAGGAAAAAGCCTTTAATTAGAATGATGCAGCAACAAAGTTCTTTTTAGACTTATATAAACAAAAGAAGGATGATGTGAACACAAGAAAAATAAAAACTTATAAGTTAATGTGGAAATATATTGCACAAGAAATGAGACAAGAAGGTTATTCTGTATCTGCACTACAAGTTGAGAATAAATTTAAAACAATGGAACGCGCATACAAAAATGTGATAAGTAACAATAAAAAAACAGGAAGAGCAAGAAAAACTTGCAGTTTTGAAACGTATGTAATATTTTTCTATGTATGATACATAAAGAAAATGAATAAGAATTGTGTAAAATATTTGCATCATATTACAGCGAACTTACAGAGTTGCTGGGAAAGAAACACAGTATTCAACCACTTGCTCTCTCAGGAAGAAATGGACTGCTACAACCAACATTGTCCAATGAAGGGTATATAGAACATTTCATAAGTATTATATAAATTATATACAATATAGTAGATATAATCAAATTTATTTTGTTTCTTTTTAATATAGGTTAAATAATTTAAATAATAATATAATAGATATTTCAAATGGTACTAATCCAGCAGCACATGGAGATAATGACAACGAATCTTATGTAGCAGATAATAACTTTGAGTCCACTGATAATTCGGAAAACTTGAGAGGACCTGCACCTGTACCTGAAAAAGTTAAAAAACGACATGGCAAAACTGCAGAATATATTCAACAATGTACACTTGCTATAGAGAAGTTTTCGTCTGAATTAAAAAATGAAAGACAATTTCTGAAGGATATGCAATTGCAAATGATAGAGGAATATAGAATAAGAAAAATTAATGAAGATTTCGTCAAAGCTTCACAAGAACAATGGGCTATAAGAAATGCTCAAAGAGATGAAAGAAATGTCCTTTTGAAAGAAATTGTACACAAAATCAACTAAAGTTTATCTGAAACATTACACAGAAAGTATTAGATGATCAATTAAAACCAAAAAGTTATATATATTATACTTTTCTGTTTCTATATAGTTCTATAAATGTAAATTTTTCCTAATTGTGCAATTTTTTTGTTTAATTGAAGGTTTATTTGTATTTATGATATTTAATTAAAGATTTGTGTTTGTAATATTTAATTAAAGTTTTATTTGTATTTATGATATTTAATTCAAGGTTTGTTTATGTTCATGAGATTCAAGACTAATTACAATAAAGTTTATTTGTGTTTATGATATTTAATTAAAGGTTTGTTTATGTTTATGAGATTCAAGACTAATTACAATAAGGTTTATTTGTGTTTACGATATTTAATTAAAGGTTTATTTGTGTTTATTATATTTAATTCAAGGTTTGTTTGTATTTATAGGATTTAAGACTAATTACAATATTATTTGTCTGTATTATTTGTATTATGTCAAGTATTATCCTATCTTACCGTCTAAGAGTTGATATTATATGATAATAAATAAATATATATATCGATAAATATGTACCTTTATTGAAAAATAAATAATTTTATCATTGTGCTATAAATTGACGACACAATTCATTTCGTAATTCGCGACTACGTTCATTCCCTGGAATTATTTCGTTATTTTCAATATGTATGTATTCCGCTTCGGGATCAGGATATTCATCATTTAATGACAGTTCTAATAATTCTAAATCGCAACTATTTTTTTTTCTTTTTTATAACGATGGGGAAATCCTCATGGATACCACCGGCCCTGAAGGGAGCCATGTGGTTATGCCGGACTCTTACCGGCTAAAACCCCACCGAAGTGCCTATTCTCACTGAGTACGAGTGGGGACGGAGGGAGAACTAATCCCTTATTCCTTTCCCGCCGTCCCCGACTCTTGGTCCAACAACCAATCCTCTGTTGCTGCGTCTACTCGACGCCATAATAACCAGGCACCGCCCGGTTGTCAGCCACTGTCAGATGATCCAAAACGGGTTCATCCAACCTTAGGAGGTAGGGCGGCACTTAAACCCTTTCCTCCCATCCCATCTCTCTTCATATCGGAGATAGGATTTGAGGGTAATGGGGCCCGTCACTTCATCGGGCTTATCCATTCCCTTCCCCCCTGCTGTTACCATAGGGGGTCTATCTTCACAACTGTCCACCACTGGCCATCACTGTAGAGAGGGCTAACCTCCCCACTTTTACTGACCACAGACAGTCGCGGTAATCCTCTAGTGTCAGTCTCCGGTCAGCCCAACCCTGACGCCCATCCCCCGAGCAGAGCCCCAGCAGCACACGCCTCTACTCTCACGGTCGCGCTGACTCGCTCCCCGCTTGCCAGCACGATCGCCCACTCAGGCCGCATGCACCAGGGTATCCCCGCCCGGAGGAGGGGACAGCCAAGAGGCCGATCTTTGACCGGCCACCAGGTAGCGCAGCACCGCCGCGCTCCGCCCTTACCACGGCTACCATCCCTACCCTTCGGCCATCCCGCCCAACTCTTCAGCCAGTGCACCTCTTGCTCTCTTTGGCCTCTAAGCCAGCGGATTGGCTTCCGGTCGGGCGGCAGCCGTAGTTTTATCCCCAACTTGCTGGCCGATGCACAGGCACACTCCCAGCTGCATCAGTCCAGCATCGGGATTCATTAAATTCCTTTGGAGGCCAGTTCATTCCTTCAGGAGTCCAGGAATCTCACTTTCCAAGGTCCGGCCAACGATCACCCGCTCTGACGACCTCCCGTCCAAAGTGAGAGTCCGTCCCCAGCCCCCCAGGATCCTTTCCACTACATTCCTCCGCTCCTACACTCATCATTCACTCACCCCCCCCCCACCACGCATTCATCCCTCCCCTCACTCATTCACCCATCACTCCCACCCATCCTCACTCTCATTCACTCCCGCATTCACACCCACCCCCTCTCCAATCCCACTCCCATCATTCACTCACTCACCTCTCCGTCATTCACTCCCCATTCTCACTCACTCCGCCCTCGTCATCCTCTCGCTCATTCCTTCCACTCCTTCACTGGATGTTCAGCGACATCCTTCCTCCTAAGGAGTCCACCCCATCCCCAGGGCACCCTTACCCTAATACCCGACGGGCTTTAGAGGAGTCGCGGGCACCAAGGGGCCCCCCCGCCCGCAAGGGTATCTGACAGTTTAGCAGGCCCTCGCGGACAGGACCGACCCGCAAGCACCCGCGACACCCCCCTTGTATCCGGGCAAGGACCTCAGCAAGCGAAGCATCCCCCCAGGATTATTGCCTACGGGCTATTCCTGCACAGAGGAATTAAACCATACAGGAACCACCCAAGGACTTCACTTTACATTCATTGTCGGCTGCCTCACTAGGCTAACGGGTCCAACTCTCCCGGGTTTTATTGGATTATTCCTTCCCCCCGTTCAGGTGTTCAGCACAACCTCCGAACTAACGAGCCTAATCGCCCGGGTTTTTCCATTGGGTTCTTCCTTCCCTTAGCTTCGGATGCCTGACCTTTCAAACTCACGAGTCCGAGCACCCGCCCTTCACCCCGTTCCGCAGAAGCACTCCCCTGATTGAGGGAGAATCCCAATTTCAAGAGTCTGTGTGGCTTCGTAGTAACGGTGCAATTCGAACTGGTCGGTGTTATTTGCTCCCGTCGCCGGGAAACACAATTATCCCTCAACAGGGACATGCCCCCGGGGCCGGATCGGTTCCGGTTGTCAGTGGGTCCACTTTCCACTATTCCGGTGGTCTGGGAAACCAGACTCACGAGCCCGGACTCCCAGTTTCTTATCGGAGTACTCTCTCCGGGTTTTTTCATTGGGTTATTCCTTCCCCTCGTTCAGTTGCCAGGTACCGCCTGACTAACGAGCCCGATCGCCCGGGTTTCTTATTGGGGGACCTTCCCCTGTCAACTATATCGACGCGGTTGCCAGGGTCCGGCGAGGAGTCCCCAACCTCCCCCCAGCTAGACAAGGACAAAGGGGCCCATCAGCCCGCCAAGTCTCAGGCTCCGCAGCGCCTGCTGGGATGTCACAGCGGCCCCGCGGGCGGCCCTAACAGGCATCAGGGCCAACCTCTGCCCCACCCCAACCTGACTCCATACGCCCAATCGTAGCCAGCTTTAACTTGTCCGCCCCACTAGGCTTACGAGACCACCTCCCGGGTTTTTACATCGGGTTTTCCTTCCCCTCGTTGGGTGTCTATCAATCAGACTGATCAGGCCCCATCGCCCGGGTTTTTCCATTGGGTTTCCTTCCCCTCGTTCGGGTGCACTGTCGTGCTCTCAGGTCCGATCACCTGGGTTTGTTTAATAGGGTCTTCCTTCCCCTGGTTTGTTCGTCGGGGTTATTCCTTCCCCCAAGTTCAATTATCCGGAAACCGGACTTACGGGCCTGAACATCCGGGTTGTATGTTTTCCTTCTCTTTTGGTTTTTCCAATGGGTTTAGCCTTCCCCTCGTCCAGATGCATGGGAAACCATGCTCGTGAGCTCGGTCACCCAACCGGTTTTATTCGGAGTTTTCTTCTCCGGTAAAATCGCAACTATTAGCTAAATTGTGCAAAACACAACACGCGTGTATTACTTGGACCATATGTCTAATATTGCGTAATTTTAAATGATAAAGTTGTCTAAATCTTTGTTTTAAGCAACCAAATGCATTTTCTATTATTACACGACACGAACTCAGTCTTTCATTAAATCGCCTTTGTTAATGTGTTAGATGTCCATTGTCGTGTCCATATTGCGTGTATGTGTGTATATAACATTATTTATATGCATTTTACTTGGACAAATTTCTGCAAGAGATTCATTCAAAAGAGATTCTCGAAACACTCGCGCATCATGCACTGATCCAGGGTAACCAATAAATACATCAATAAATTTCATCTTGTGATCCACAACACATTGCAGGTGTATAGAAAAATATTGTTTTCTATTAATATACGACTCGTGATCATTTTGTGGTTTGTCAATTCGAATATGTGTGCCATCTATAGCACCTAGAGAAAGAAATGTATAAAAATATATTTATGTCAATATATTGTTGCCAGTTGTTTAAGTAATGTATTAATTATAAATAATATAAACTCACCAATAATTCCAGGAAATCTTTTCGTCTCCAAAAAATATGCCATTGTTGCTTCTTTCTCTTCCAGTATAGGAAATTGTATTATATGTGGAGCAAGTTGCATTAAAAATCTTGTAACCCTTGTTATAATAGCATACAGGGTACTTATAGCAATTCCAAACCTGTCTGCCACATCACGATATCCTGCACTCTCGTGATCGACATACCATAAGTAAGTTAAAACATGCTTTTCCGCTGTTATTGGCATATAACCTGCATGTTCTGTAATATTAGTTCATAATAAGAATATTTCATAACATTCAATTACAACAAGTTGTAGTGGATTGTAAATATCAATACAATACCTTGTAATGATGTAAAAATATCTGATACTGAGAAACGTACAATAATTTCATATCATGCGTGATACACGGAAATGCATAATAAAATCGCAATGTATATAACTTCTGGTGATATTTTCGATGTAATTGTCAACTTTAATGTGATATGAACGTTGTATGCCACGTATGCCTAATACCTGCAAGTTTAATGGTTCATTACCTGAAATACAAATATATAAATTATTCAATTTCCAACATATGTGATAAATATGGTAACACTGATATAATTATTATTATATTATACAATATATTTATTTTTACTTACGTAATTCTTCATTTGGCAGAACAACCAAAGCTGGTGGCACCGGCAACAAGGCTTCTTCATCAGAAGAATCGGAATCTTCTAATATATTTAATATATTTATGTTATATGCCATTGCGTAAATAAACAACTTATTCTTTTCGTTCAATTTTTCCGAAGACTCTTCCTCTCTTCTTCTTCTTCTTGTTTGGTGAACATTCTTCTCAATACGCCAAGACGTGACAAACGTACACTTATGCGTTTTAGTTGCCAGATACAAATCACTAAATAAATCTTTACACTTTCTCTGCTCACTAAGAACTCACTAGAAATTGAGTGTAAAAAGTGTAAGCAAAGAAAACAAACCTTAAGTCTCACTTAAAACCAAAATAATGTTGGCGCTACTGGACCTTACTGCTATTGTAAACGACGCTTTAGCCGTATATGACATGGAGCCTGTTGTTTTTCTGAGTTATGGGTTAATAGCGACCGCAAGACGTGTTGAACTCGCGTTTCGGACGCCATAGCTGCAACATCGAGTTTTTCTTACGCCTCAGCTCTATTTATCTCTATTATGTGATATCTTTTGTTCTATGTGTGCTTTTGATATTTTTGACTTTGGCTTTCTCCTGGACTTTGTTTTTAAAACAAGATTCTGCTTTCTGGCAACCAATTCTTTTTCTATTCTGATTGGATTTCTTACGCTATCTGGACTTTCCCGCTTTCTCCTGGACATCCGTTTATAAGATGAATGATAATTCATCCTCTCAAGCTGACTCTAACCTGAGTAACGCAATTCTCAGGATGGATTCCTCTAATGAGGGTACGGACCCGAATCTAATAACGGAGATCTCAGATAATATCTCTACCTCAATGCCTAACCTCACTCCATCCTGTCACACTTCATTTGACGAAGGTTCCTCTCGCTCTGTTTCTTCTGTTCCTGACAACCTCATTACACTTCAGCGTAATGTATATGATAACAGTGCTAAAGGACCGTTTGAGGTTCATTTTGAGAAATTTGATGATCGTAGATCCACTCAGAATATCATCACAAGCGAAATTAGATTTGGTAAAGCTATGCATAAATGCTTCCCTGATACTTGGAAGTTTGCTTTTAGTCTAAAGAACTTAGGTTCTCACAAGTTTACCGTTGCTTTTCCTGATCCAATGACTGTCAACTGTATGGTCAAAGAGATAAACTCTAAGAGTGGGTTCATCATTTCAGATACTTCTTGGATAGCATATATACCTGATTACAGGGTTGCAATCAAAGTCATATCTCGAGACTTTGATATCACAGATTCTCCTTAAGAGATCTTAGATAATCTATTTCCCCCTCCCTTCTGGAGGGGCCCCTAGCCACTGCTTTTGGATGTTAAAATTATTAACAGGAAACCTCCAAATTCTTCATCAGAGAATACTTCTAGAAATTCCAATTTGGTAATACTAACCTTCAAAGAGTACTCAGCCCCTAAAGCTGCTCCTTATTACGGTTCTAAAATTAGGCTTTGGCACTATACTCAAAGAGTTAGGCGCTGCCTTAATTGTCAACGTTTCGGCCATCTAGAAAAACAGTGTAGTCCTAAAGCAAACAGTGTCCTAAAACAAGAGTATACGGTAAATGCGCTTCAGGTGAGCATCTTAGCAAAGAGTGTCAATCTGTTCTGTGCATAGCTGCATTAATTATATTAGAAGAAAGCTCACGGAAGTCAGGCACCCTGCCTACTCAAACGATTGTCCCGTTTTCATTGAAAATCGTAAAACAAAAGTTATTATGGCTATACTTGGGTTGGGCCCAGGGGATGCCCTTAATTTTTTTAGGCAATCTGGCAATCATTTCCCTGATTCATGGTTCAACGCGCTGACGGAGTCCGGTGATGAACCCACCTTTGGGGATTATCTACTCTGGCTAAACGTTTGCCCTGAATCCTGCCTCTCCAGCTCAGAATCTTCTTCTAACAAGTCACTTGACTCCTCCTCTTTCTCGGTTCCCTCTCCCTCACCCATGAAGGGCAAAAAGAGAAAGAGAACGGTGGGTTTCGCTCTTCCGTCTGGGAGGGATGGTCGAGGGGAGGCTACTACTGAGGTTTCACCTACAGTGGATATCCTTCCTTCTCCATTAATCTCTTTCAACCATAATCCTTCTGTTTCTCCTACTGAAGATATGGAACTCTCAACCTTGAGTGGCAAGGAGAAAGTTGCACTCTACGATACTAACTCACCCTCTTATGACTCTCATGTAGAATTTAACCCTCATTCTCCAGCTGATGCTCTTCTGGAATTTAATAATATCCTTGTTGAGCTCAACTCTAATTTTAATTCCAACAATTCTCTTGATAATAATCATCGACTGCTCTTAGTAGGCTCTCAAGCCAAATTGCTCAATATTTTCTCTGCTCTCTCTGAGCTTATTATACATCATCACCTTGACGTTCTCTGTTACGATACCGGCTACAAAATTCACTGATTCTTCTATCATCAATTCTTTATATTTACTTGCTTATGCTGTCTAGCATGAACCTAACTGCCTCTAACTCCCTATCCGTCCTTCAATGGGACTGTAGGTCTCTTAAAGCTCGTATCAACGATCTGAATTTTCTTTTAAACTCATTATCTCTTCTACCGTCATTTATCTGTCTCTCTGAAACCTGGTTGAATGATGAGGATATTCTCAGAATTCCCAATTACAACTTAGTCGTCCAAACAGAGATGAACTAGGTGGGGGGGGGAAGGGCGCTATTGCAGTCAGGTCGGACCTGAACTTTAATGTCATCAATAATGATGTGATAAATAAACTCACTGGGCCTGTTTCAATTGACTGTATAGGAATTCAAATTAGTTCCTGTGGTCAATCTTTTACTATATTTTCCTTGTACAATCCTCCGAACAATAATCTTTTAATTGATGGAGCCAACACCTGGGAAGAAATATTCTCTCAATTTAATTCTTTTTTTTGCTACTATTTCGATTTCAATTGCAAACGCCCTTTTGGTGCAAATCCACAATTGCCGCTAATTCGCAGAGTTCGTTACTAGCTGATGCTATTGACAACTCACCTTTCATCGCATTAAATAATGGCTGTTATACATGGAGCTCTTCTGATCTTTCACCTCGCAGTGCCCTTGATCTTTCTCTGATCTTCCCATCTTTAATTAACTCTTCTTTCTGGGAAGTTTTAAATAACTGCTTTGGAAGCGATCACTATCCTATTCTTATGAAGTTTTCATCGATTCTTCCCGAAAAATTTCTTTGTAGACCACAATATAATTGTTCGAAAGTTAATTGGGACGACTTTGGTGAGGAGCTACTCAGGCAAAATTCTCTTAATCCCCAGGATTTGGAGATAGATTTACATGGTCCTACTATGGTCTGTCAAAATCTTACAAATCTCATCGATAGATCTCTTCGGCTTTCGGGTGCTTTCGAAAAACAAGCTCCTTTCGAAGGAGGCCCTTTTCTCCTTGGTAGGATGATGAGTGCCAACAAATTGTTAAGGAAAAAATGGATGTTTTTCATCATTATAAGAAATTTCTCACCATCGAGAATCTTAATATCTACAATGATCTTTGTAGATCTTCAAAAAAACGCCTCAGGAAAATCCGCAATGCCAAATTCCAGTACTGTGAATTTTTGAATAAGAAATCTGACATGAATACAGTCTGGAAAACGGTCTCTACTTTTAAGAGTCGGAAAAGTACGATAATACGCTCTAACGAATTCTCAGAACGAAAACTCTCATTTGGCTTCTGAGATCTTCTCAAAAGCTGTCTCTGAGGAAGCTCCTAACCCAGTCACTCAATCTGTCATTTGGGACAACCTTAAGAGCTCTGACATTACTTGTAAATCTCCGCATATTTCTCATCAGATGGACTGTATCCCTCTTTTGAAGGACTTTACTCTCGAGGAATTTGAGTTCGCTATGCAGATTGGTAAATCCAAAAGGAAAGCTCCAGGCTCTGACCTCATATCATACAAAATCCTCCTCCATCTACCCCACTCCGTATTTCTTCTCGTTTTTAGTCTTTTCTGTCATTTCTATCGTTCAGAGTCCTTTCCTGAGTCATGGAAATGGTATTACATGGTATTTATTCCCAAATGCTCCACAGATGCCATGAGACCAATTTCCATCTCTAATACATTCCTGAAGGTTTTTGAAAGGATAATTAAGTATAGATTGGAATAGTGGCTTGAATCTCACAATATACTTCCTTATTACCAGAACGGCTTTCGTAAAAAAAGGTCTTGCGCTAATAGCGTACTAGCTCTCAAAACCTTTATCAAACATGCCTTTTCAAATAATCATAACCATGGTTGGATAAATATGATTGGAGCCATATTCATTGACATAAAAGGGGCCTTTAATAACGTTAATCCCCTCAAACTAATATATTTGATGCGCGACTTGAGGCTTCCTGATAGACTCTTGAGTTTTGTATCTTTTCTACTTCTGGGAAGACAGATATCAGGCTTCTTCAACGGTCACTTTCTTGAAACCAGGAAGGGATCTACCGACGTACCTCAAGGGTCGGTTTTGAGACCCATTCTTTTTGACTTATACATCTCCAGAATACATGTTGGACTAGATGACAATGATTACATTCTTGCATACGCAGATGACCTTGTCATCTTCTGTAAGGTAGGTCCATAACGAATATTGTTAACTCTGTCCAGTCCAACTTATCAGCCCTATCCAACAATCTTAGCAGACTGGACCTGACAATTTCCTCGGAGAAAGCGAAATGGTGTCTCTTTGACGCTCATAAAAGATTCAGTACAATGCAAAAGGCAATTGATTCCAAAGGCCTCCATATTACTCTTAATAATCATATAGTTTCTCTCGTTTCCTTCTTTTCGTCCCTTGGATATACATTTGATACCAATATTTCCTGGAAGGTTCACATAAAAAAATCCAGGTTATTTGTCTGTCTAGAGTTAATCTCTTTAAAGCCTTTATGGGCATAAAGTGGGGTGTGCATCCTACTACTCTCCTTACTATATACAAAGGAATCAATCGTTCTATTTTTGATTGGGGAGGGTTAGTTCTAGGCGATGTTCCGAGTTCCCGACTTTATCCTTTAGATAAAGTCCAATTTAGATGCATCAGGCTTATACTTGGCCTTATGTGTTCAACCCCAACGAATATCCTCCTTGATCAAACTTCCTTTTTTTTTTTTACGCAGGAGAAATCCATCATGGACACCCTCGGCCCTTGGGGGGCCGAGGGTTATGTCGGACTCCTACCGACTAAAACC